TTCCAGAATCTTGTTCAACATGTTCAAACATCTCTCCTCACTGTCATAATCAACCAGTGGAGTCTTTGTATCTGACTCTGACATCTATTTCGGATTTTATGAAACAGAATTTAAATTTAATTAAATATACTTTTAATTAATAATTTATTATTCAATTAATAATTTATCATCTATCTCTTATTATTAATATTCTAAAATTCTATTTATCTACTACCCGATACTCTTCTTAATTGATTCTGTTTCGTGCTTCTAAATTAAAATAAACGCACAGCAATTCACTTTAATTTGAAACGCAAGATTGATCATTTACACAGCACCACCTCGAGTATGCACACCTATTCCAACGTATAGTTTTACGCACGGCAATAAAACGACGTTGAAGGCGATTGATCACGCACACACTCGGGATACATTATGCAAACAAACGACCTCACAAACTATAAGCTACTTGATGCCGAACACAAGCGTCGCATAGCCAAAGTTACCAAAATAGCTTTAATATGTATTTTATATTAATTAATATCACTGACATGTCAAAATACATTTTTATAATTATTAAAATTAATAATTCACTTTTAAAATTTAATTTAAAACATCTTCTAAAAATCAAAATCTAAACATACTATTGTAATACACGTGATACTCGTGTACTATAGTTATTATGACGCAGTTGGCCGACATCTTGAATTTTTAGCGTCTACCGGCCTCACCAGCGATTTCATCATCTTTTTAAATTAAATCTATTTGTCACCATCTAATATATTAAACAAATATTTTCAGACATCTATGAATTTATTTAATTAAATAAATAAATATTTATCAAATCTTTTTAAGTTATCTAAATTAAGCGTCTATTAAAACGTATTCATTCCATTTTATATTTTCTATGCATACACGCTTTTGTTCATCTATAATTACGTCTTATATTCTTTTATTTATTTTCCGGAATATCTTTTCTAAATAAATATTCATAAATACTCTTACCTTGTGATCAATCACTTCACCCAATTTATTTTTAATAAATAAATCACGTACGCAGTGGAAGCGTGCACTGGGTATAATAACCTGTCGGGTTTATAAATAAAATTGGAACACAAGGTTTTAGTTTAACTGAATCTAGATTTATTTAATCTTCTATTGAATATAAAAACACTTCTAAACAATCTTAGATATCAAATAATGTGCGTATTATAATGTTAACAATATATAAGAAAAATACTTGAGTTGTAACTACGTAGTAGCACACGATCAGTCAAGCGTCCAAGCAACAAGATGTGCAAGCTACAGCGAGCAAGCCGGAGAGTGAGTCGTATGCACAGCTAGCCTGCGCGTAGACCGACGCTATCTCCGTACAAATCAATATTGATTTAGTTGTCGCTTTGAGCAACAAATACAGATATAAAGTATAATAAAGACTTAAATAATTAAATTACTAGACACGAAAATCTTGCACTCTTAACATTAGATTAAAAAAAGAAATTTTCACTTCAACAAAATCAACTTGAATTTTCACAAAAAATAATATTAAATTAAATTTACTAAAAAAAATAATTTTTTCATGTTAATAATAATAATGATCATTATTATTAAATTATTATTATTAATGTTATCATTATTAACTAATTAAATAAATTTAAAAATCAAATAATTTTTTTTTTTTTAATAAAAAATGATTTTTTTAATTTTTATGTTAATAATAATAATAATAATAATAATAATAATAAGCGGTGCTTGCTACGTGGCCTCCAAGCGGCGCATCGCGGGAAACGCAGACCATAACACCAGGTCTGTAGGCGAACGACATAGCCGATGCAGTGGGCCAACTACCCACTGCATTGAAATACTGAGTTACAACAAGACGTAATCTCAGAAGTGCTCCCCACAATCGGTCCTTTTCGGATGAGGACCATTCATCAGGTGGGAGGAGCACGCCGGACCCGATGAACGTTGACGACCCTGGCGCTTTAAGGATAAATTTTAAGTGGACGGAGGAACTACGAGTCGATCTTTTGGTGTGCAAGTAAGTGTATCTAAAAAGATAACTTACTCCCAACAACAGCTTGACGCGGTAAATGAAGATGTCCGTGCAAACATCCTGGAAGATTCCACCCTGCTCACTGTGAACCAGGTTGTGTATGGTGCAGCAGTTTCGGCTTTTCCGAGAGAGAGACATCGTCTCTCGATCGAGGCAAGGTTGAGACAGCGCATCTCACAACTTGGACTCAAAATTGACAGATCCCGGAAACAGGTCTCCCGCATTCAGTGTGTGATAGAGTTTGAAACAACTCAAAGAGCATACACGCCCCGAATCCGGCGCATTGCTGCAGAACTTCGGTGGCATCATCACAAACTGAATAAGAGTACTCTTCTTGTCATCAAAGAAGAGTCTCTTAATAAATTGCGGGCTCTAGTGACTGCCAAAAAGTCACTAGAGAAAAGGCTGAAGCGGTTGGTTGAAAACTCGTTGTTTCGATCCAGCCCTTCACGCTTTCTGACACCAAAGACCGATGTTACCGGGAACTATCCAACACCTGAGCGGGTGGAAGCTTTTTGGACTGAGTTGTATGGAGATCAACCAAACGAGAACGCCAGTACTCCAGCTCTGCATGACTTCAAAGCATTCCGTCAGGAACACTGTAGACAGAATGCTCATGAAGAGAGCCATGCAGTCAGTCTGGATGAAGTTCGTTCAGCTCTAAATGACAGCAAAAATTGGGCTGCCCCGGGACAAGATGGCATTAATGTCTTCTGGTGGAAGAAGTTCACTTATACCCACCTTCATCTGGCCCGCATATCGTACATTAGAGCTGACGAACCGATTCCAAACTGGCTCGTGGAAGGGCGAACCGTACTGATACCAAAAAAAGGTGACTTGTCTGACCCAAAGAAATACAG